GAAGAGAATTGTACTTCTTTTTCTATGTCTCCAGACAGCAGGTAACATCACCAACACTAGTTGATAACAAAATAATCACAACTTTCGCGATAGTAGACATCCTGAGAGGTGTGGTCCCAATGAGTTTGCAACTTGTACTTCCTGTTTCCTACAGGCATGTGTCTGACGTAATGGCACTTTGCGTAGCCTGGCTGATTCGCTCGAATTAAAAGGAAAAATCCTGTATCCACATCGTGTTCCAGAACATCACTAAAATTTATTGGTGTGTTCCTTTGGCCGGTACCCACATGTGGTTAAAATTTTCATGACAATCTGTCCACAAGTTTTTGAGTAATTTTGTCCACAGACAGACAGACAGACATATGCGACCGAAAACATTACCTCCTCCTTTGGTGGAGGTAAAAAAGGCGACTCGCTTCCAGAGCCGACTGTACCAGGAAGCAGCAGTTTATAAAGATAGTCAAACCACAAAAAAAAATCATAAAAGGGGATAAAACATGTTTTAAATGGTGGAATCTGACTGATGAAAACGTAGACGCTTACTCCGGGACCAGTTTGTGGATGAATAACGTCGGGTGACGAGTCTGACTTTTTTTTCCACATTGGACTCCACTGGGAAAAGATCCCGTGCATACTGCCTGCTTAAATGTTCGCTACGTCAGAACTTATTTGGCAAATGTATTTCCATCYTTCCTTCTGCATATTAACTCCATTGCAGGATGGGGGAAATTGGCCTTGGCGGAGGTTTGCTCTCTCCGAGTGTTTCTAGTTTTTTCTTATTTAATTTTGTTTTCAAGATTTTTGGTCAACCGTAGCACGAAAACAGCTGCACCGCTCAACCTRAAATTTGACAGGAATGTAGATGTGTCTGACCTACAATGTGTCAGCCAACATTTTTACAATAGACCACATATWTGAGGAGTGGGCACCATCTAAAAAGCGGGTGTCTGGGCATACAAAAATGTTTTTAACTCAAAAACTATTCGACCTAGGAGCTTCAGACTATTTTGTTGTTTAGCGCCAATGAAGAGCTATCCATCAGGCCCACCAATGAGCACCCTCCCTTCCCCCTTTCAGACCCCCACTCAAACAAAACAATAAATCCATTTTGATGGCTTCTGAGTTCTGTTGCATTGGTGCTTTGCGTACGTGCATATGCTACCGCTATGCAGTATCTAGTTTTCTTTTGAGTCCTGAAGACTCATCATCAGAGGTGAATTGCTGAAGTCAATTTCATTTAAAAATATATATTTTAAAAATGAAATCTGCTTTAAGAGAACCCCAGACAGTAAATGATGAAGTGTACTGATGTTTCATGACGTTCCTTTATTTCATTCCTTAGCCTTTTTGTYGTGAAAACACCGTAAGAGCTACAGGGCATACAATTAGCATAAATTAGCTTTTACTTGCACAAATAATAACTRAATGGCTCATTAAAGAGCTTAAACAAATAACTTTTTACATATTTTTAGCACACAAAAACAAATAGAAATTCCAGTTAAACCTTTAGTAAGTAGAATTTCTCCTTATGATGTAACTTGCTGCTAACTTTAGCATTTGAATCGTAACACACTAGAGATATGTTATAGTGCTAATATCTATGTAGAACGATACCTGACACATGCATAAAATCAACAGTTTCTTTAACAGCAGTAAAACATATTAAAACAAACAATACCTTGTTCCCAAGCTAGGCACTAAAGAGTCTGTAATGCCTTTGGATCCAGCTGTCTTCCTTGTTAACAAACTACCCGTGTCTTTTTTTTTTTTTTTTTTTTTTGCCAAAATCAAACTACCACCACTTACAAAGATGCATATAATCTTACAGGACACAAAAGCCAGGTTAATGAAATCATAAAAGTTAGACAAAAGTTATATTATGGAGCCTTTCTGGATCTGTTGCACTTCTACATAAATAAACTTGCCTTGTCTTGCCTTAAATGTGTTTGGCCACTTTACATGGTTATTGGACAGCACTTTGGTTGTTTCAGATAAACTTTTTAAATATGGTTGATTTGCTTTATTATCTTGTACTCTTGGGCATTTAAATGTAGGAGACCATATTTGAGAGGGAATGGCTAACCCTTCATCCCTTTGCCCATCAAAGCCTTTCTGGATGCATTCTGGAGGAGCAGCTGTGCACTAAGCACGCTTCATGAGTGGAGCTGCAGAGCTGGCGAGAAGCTTTGGCAGAACCGTGTGCAATAATGAGGCAACGCCAAGAAATCCCGCTGTCCCCTTGACTTAGATGTGTCCCCACCGGGCCACCGTACATGGCACCGATGACATGGACTGTTGAGTCTGAGTCTGTAGGCAAAGCAGTAGGTAGCATTTCATGTTTATGTGCGTCTTGGAGTTCAGAGTGTACGCATAGTGTGTGTATTTTAGCTGGCGCGAGCTTGTATGTGCTCGTTTGTGACTTTGAGAGTGTGTGTAGTTCTTTGGTCGTGGGAGCTTACAGGCTCTGAGCGCAGATGCTCTCTAATCCAGTGTTTTGAAATGAGCCCTCCAGCTGTTGTGGGCTTGAGAGGCTGCAGCCTTGGAGGAAGCTTACAGATGATGAGACGCTCCTTCTATCTTCATTCCTCCAGGATCTTTCTTTCTTCCTTCCTTTCCCTCCTTCCTTCCTTCCTTCCTTCCTTCCTTCCTTCCTTCCTTCCTTCCTTCCTTCCTTCCTTCCTTCCTTCCTGTCTGACATTCTTTAAAGGTTAAGATTTATGATAAACACATCTTCATTGCCACTGCTAATCCTCCGATAAGAGCATAGATTGATTTTGTGCAGGAAGTGAACACTGTGCACACAGAGGATGTAAGAAGATGAGATTAGAGTGGTGACCTAAGACTTTATTTATTGCATTTAAAATGATGGCTTCTAAMGTAGATGTTCTGCTCGTTAGTTGCACGGCGACGCTCGCACCAAGAAAGACGACTGTGCCCGTTCATCCGACAGAGTTAAAGAAAAGCTGTAAATGATACATTTTGGCGTTACGGGGGAATATAATGCCCTTGAGTGAAATAGGCTGCATAATGCATGGGAAGTCTTGTTTTGTTTAAGTGTGCCTTCCATGAACCAAAACTGTAAGTAGAGCAGTTTGGATGGTGCCCATCTCCCTGCGGCCCGTGAGCGAGCCTGCGGGGTCCGTGATGTCTGCCAGCAGAAGGAAAGTGTGGGAGGTTCGGCTGGTTTCAGGCAGACAGGGAGCAACAGGCAGTCTGTTGGCTTGAACAGGGAAATAATATTCAAATCCTAAATTTATCATAATATCCTAAAACCAATGCTAAAAATGACAAGACACTTTCATAGCATAGGTGTACCATTTCGTTGCCTGATGATCTTCTTGCATTACCAGTAGCAGGAATGATTCACAGAACAGGATCAATTATTCGTAATCACATCAGTGCATCATTCTCTTCAATACGTTTGGATAAGATTACCTCCCATTGTGGTTTTTGAACGTGGATGCATGTGTAATGTAATTTTCTTCATAATGTCTTTAGTTGGTCCAGAAATAGATGCAGCATGAACACAGCCATCTTCTTGGCTGGCACGGTTGACAGCTGAGTCCACAATTGGAGCTGATGAGCTTCTAAGGTCTGGACTTTTCTTGTTGCTTGAGAAAGCAAGTGGTCATGAAGTGATATCAAGAAAACCAATAATGCTTTTATCTGTCAAGTTTATTCACTTTGCATTGATGGTAGTTGCGACGTGGTGAAAAAGCAAGGTGTTTAATGAAATGAGTGAAAGCAGTAACTCAGGAGATGGTGTATCGTCTTTCCCTGTTTAACTCTTGCATATTTCATGTGATCMTCCGCAGTGTGGGCTGGATGTCTGTATAGTTGCTGAAAGCAATACAAAAYAGACTCCTGGTTTCATCGGATATCATGTTTGTTTGGCTGTTAAAGATTAAAAAGCAACAAAGCGAGTATTTATTAATTTATTGAACWCTAGTTATTTTTGCTTTTAAAATATGCAGTAATACATGAGAAAAGCCTGCTTGTGTTGTTCCCTGACTCTGATCYGATRRCAGCYATGACTAGTTCCAATCGCCCATGACTCTGAACAGGATAACCCCGGATTTATACTACATGCGTCTCCGCTGCGCTGCGGTGCGCAAGTCGCAGCTGTTCGTTTGTGTCTCAATTTATACARACTCCGCTCCGCTCCGACTTGTGCAGGAAGGAGATCAAGCAATAAATAAATGTGGAAGTCACAGCAAAAAACAATTAAGTCTGTGAAAGACAAACTCCAAACACAACTGAAAACATTGATATGAAGGCTTTTGATATCTATGTTGAAACTGCATCGCTGTCGTCTTTTTTGAAATTTCTGATTTCAAAATAAAATCCATGTGTATCTTGTGTGTACACATACGCTTCATGCTACATGTTTCCATCTGCTTCCCAAACAGAACGATACATTCTGACAACATTTGTGTAGAAATATATCCATATATTCATTAATATAGCTGCAATTTCGACATTATTCCGACAACTTATCCCGGCTAAAAGTGTCTTATTTTGAAAAATACGGATGTTGTGCTCGTTTCTTTTCCTGTTGGTGCTACGTTATCTTGAAAATTGACTCCGGCGCAGCTCCGGCGTCTGGCAAAAATAGGGTCTGTTCTAATTTTGACGGGTCGCCGTCTGATCATCGCCACCCTGCACAGCCAGTGTAAACACTCTCATTGATTTTAATGGGTGCGTATTTGCTGTGGAGGTCGGACCGGAGCGGAGCATGCAGTGTGAATTAGGGGTCAAACTGTTGCAAAGATTAGTAAGGAGTGGAAAAAATGGACAAGCACTTTTTTAGTAGCCCACAGCAAGTCCTGCTTTGATTCAAAGTGCTGGGATTTATAGGCGAGTTTGCTCAACTTGCATCTGTTCCAGCTGTATGTAACTCATATTCTTCACTCCCTCTGTGTTTTTGTTTTCCACATTTAGCATTTGGTACAATGTTTGTATTTATCCTACACTAAAACATAACCTCTTTCCACCTGCAGTGTGTGTGCGGGCGCTGGATGTGACCGTGTCCCAGAGCAGCATCCAGGTGGCCCGTGGCCAAGCAGCCATCCTGCCCTGTTCCTTCACCACCAGCGCTGCCCTCAACAACCTCAACATCATCTGGATGGTGATTCCATTGTCCAACGCTAACCAGCCAGAACAGGTATGAATCATACACCCACTGACAGGCAAAGAAAACAATTTCCTCACGTTTAATGCTTTTGGAACACAGGCTAGAATTAAAACAGTCGTAGTATTTGGACAGAACGTTTTAACAATTTCCTGTCTTCTTTTGTGCAGCATAATGAAGAGATTTATGCTTTGATAATTATTACAGCTGAGGTCAGAAGTTTACATGAACTCATTGACATCAATGTCATATTAATATTGGGGTTTTTAATAATTGATTCAAGTCATTCCTTTTTCAAGATGGAATGACTATACATTCATCTTTAATGAGTTTTTCAAAACAAGAACTGGGAGCACAAGTTTGAATTTATTGTGAATTTGTCTCAATCCACACACTATTAAAATTTACCGCTGGAGCTGAAGATAGTTTTTTTTCACCTTGACAAAAAGCCATGGCTTGTTAACTTTTTGTTAGTGATCATCACTGAATGGAGCTGGTTTCTGTTTGCCAGAATAAAAAATATTAGTTTGACCTCACTTATTGGATTGTCCAAAACGTAGGACAATGGAAAAGTCCAACATACTGAGTAAAGATTTAAAAATGCTAATTTTATATTTACACAGGTTGGGAAAGTCTTCTGGATCTGTTTCTAAAGAAATTTGGATTTCAAGTTCATTAATTTATACAATTTGATGTGTAAACATGTTATCTGGATGAGTCTCAGCTCTGCCAAGGTCTGGGAAACGTCCCAGACTGACATCCTCAGATAAAATGAAATTAAGTAGGATGCCAGGAAACAATCAAGCCTGCACAAATGAAAACTTCTGGAACACCAGCGTCACTGTCCACAGTGAGACAAGCTTTATATCACCATACACTGAAAGTGCTCAGACCAAGAAAGAGACCAGTTTTCCAAAATCAACAGCCTTAAGCTGTATGAAAAAGCCAAATGGTTTTAGGAGGTTAACCTTACAGAGAAAGAAGAAAACATGAACATTTTGTTTTTCACATGGGGAAATCCAGTTAATTCTTGTTTTATATACAGTGATAAAAATATGTTGAGGAGTGAGGCTTTCAAATCAAAGAACACTAGACCAATTGTCCAGCACGGTGGTGGCAGCATCATATTGTGGTAAAGGTGCATTGCACAAAGTAGAGGGAAAACTAACTATTTCCAAATCTTAAACTTCATCTTAAATCAAAGGACAAAGAAGAAGAAACTTGGACACATTTTGATGTTCGAGCAGTTCAATGATCCCAAACATCAGAACTGATTTATAAATGGATAAAGTGTGTTACCATTGGACTTCTGCATGGCCAGAAAACAAGCTAATTTAAATGAAGTTTACCAATTATGTCAAAAAGAGTGGTCAAATTTCCATCCAGAATGATGCCAGATGGATATAAAAAGGGAGTGATTCAGGCACAACATACTAAATAGAATTTAATATTGTGGGATTTATGTTTTTAGTTTTGACCTGGTCATGCTTTAATGGAGACATTGGACACATTTTGTTTTGCAGTTAAGAGTCCCTGAGAGTGCAAAACATTTGAATTTAGTCTCCCTTTGCTGCCTAGATATCTTTATATAATGTTTGAGTCATATTTTTTTTTCCATTCAGTTTTCTTTATTCCTTATTACGTATTTTAAACATTATTTGAAGCAAACTACTAAACAAGGCCTGGGTCTCCAGTTTAATTTCACAAATCCATGGTTCTGCAGGTTCATCTTGGAACGTGTTGCAGACGTCAAATTCAAGATGACTGAATATTTTCAAAAAACAATAAAATTTGTTCACTTGAACATTAAATATCTTAATCATCATATTCTGTTTTTATTCATGTTTTACACAATGCCCCAACGTCATTGGATTTGGGGTTGTAGAAGCATGATATAGCCCCTTTAAGAAAATCCAGAATAAACTCAAAGTTGTGCACACATTTTTTGTTTTGTTTTCAATCTTTGAAAAAAAAAATCTTTTTTTTTTCAAAATGATTTGAATAAATAATTGAAATCTCCAAATTAATTACTTGCAAGCTCATAAGAGTGTAAACTTCTGACGACAACTGTAGAAAATCAACTGGTACACGTGAGCATGGCTTTGCACTGTTTACAGAAAGACTTTTCAAGTGAATCTAACTTGTGTTTAACAAAATATGATTACATATGCATCATGTGGACAACCAGTCAAAGCAGGTACATGAGACATGATCTGTGTGAAGGTGTGCTCAGATACAACGCAAAGACAAGGTCAGGGTTTGCACTAAGTTCTTCAGGCACAAGCATAAAGCAGCACCAATTTAGATGCTTTCTTTTTGTAGTTGTACGTTTTTAACAGTCTTTAGAAAGTATGATGCAATCACACATTATTGAAGGAAATTTCAGCACAGCTCACAGTGGTGATAATGATGGCTGACACATAAATAAATGTACTCAAATCTTTCTACTATTTGAGTGGAACAGAGTGTTTTGGCAAAAAATGCAGCATAGAGTGAACAATTTAAGAAAGTGCATTATGCTGTCGAAATAAAAATGCCCTATGCACTAATCGAAAGAAAAAGCAAATCCATAAAATTGTGGTGGTTTTGCTGCAAAAATTACATTAACAACTCAAAAAATGTTTGGTGTAGAAAAATGTAATATGAGCAAAGAAATGAAGCAAATTTTGCTTAAATTTGTGTTTAATTTGAACCAAACAAAGGTGAATCCTAGCAATTCTATTTTGAATGAAAGCTCTTCTTATTTAGGCAATTCATGATGAAAAAGAACTTCTCCTTGTAGAGCCTGATTAATGCAAACCCTGACTGAGCTGCAATGTATATTCAGTGGTGCTTGGTACCATAGATTGTAAAACTGCTTTAGTGCAAGTAGAATGTAGACATTTTTGAATACCTGCCGGTGCTCAAAGCTTTACATTTTCATGTAGGTGTCAACAAAATTGTTTGAAATGCGTTTAATGAAAAAAAGGCATCTAAAAACACAAAAATGAATGTTAAGATGCAAGCAGCAACATCTCATTTTTCGGTGAATCAGACAGCACCTTTAGAGTAACAGCTACTGTATGTGTAAAGCTAACTGCTACAAAAAATATAATAATAAAATAAAAAATAAAAAAGTGGGAATTCAAACGGACTATTCAACTTATGGCCTGCAGGCAACCAGCCTGCCAATGTAAAAAAGTAAAATGTTTGACTTAACTGATTTAACATCAGTTATGAATTTTAAATTTATGAATCAATGCAACAAAATAAACCAATTTAAAAGGTACAATGTTACAGTATTTGCTTTTTAACAAAATGCAGTTTTTCCCCTACAATTATTTGGGCAACGCCCCCCACCCTCTTGATGTCCATAAGGGTACAACAATACAGAAAATTCATGATTTGGTTTGATACTTTAGTGTCACGATTCAATATTTTCTTCCAATACTAGAAAAATAAATGTCCATGCCCTTCTTAACTTGTAATTTCTTAAAATTATGAACATTTGTTTAACCTCAAAAGTACAGTTTTTAAATTCAATGTTGCTGAAACAGCAAGTTTCTCAGTGGATCTGCGCTCGGAAGGGAAGCCTAGGTGGAGTCAAACACAGATCCACTGATCCTTCAACACAGAGCATCTTCAAAAGACAGGATGATGACTCGTTATCTCGAGAAAACGCTCTTCGTGAACATAATATGTCATCATCACGAGAAAACTATGGAAAATAATTAAATGCAGAAAACAGACGGTTTTGGCTTTTGAAGTTCCTAACTCTTCAATTATAAGAAAATGAAAATGAATATCATCTAGTGCAACTACTTAGTAAAGTTACAAAATAAAGGCAGACCTAATCTGGGAAAAAAAATGGCCCTGTAGAAGTCTTTGATAAAGACTTTCACAACTAAAAAAATTTCTTAAAGAAAAATATAACAAATTCACGATTTGGAATGATCGAGTCGCAGATCACAAAAAGTCAATTCTCTATAATTCTTCAGATAATTGATAAACATTTATGCCTGAATACATGTATGCATGTAGATATATACCACACAGTACCTTCACGCCGTTTTGGATGGCAAAAAGGAAGTATATATAAAGTTAGAAACACAACTTAAAAACACAAGTTAGGAGTGATCAGGACTCTGTACCACAGAGCAGACGGTGTCCCTACAAACCCAGGAGCCAGGCAGAAAGAGAAATCACACACAC